TACCTCAATATATTAAGGCAGCACTTGAGCCTTTGGTCGACAATTTGGCACTAAATATGTCTCAAATGATATATTTTCAATATGACGGAGCACCAGCACATAATGCCAGAGTTGTTAGTGAATTTTTAAATACTACTACAAACTCCTTGCTACAAACTTTGACAATAATTGGAAACAATGCTTTCCCTCATGGTATGGTTATCACCATAACAACATTAAGTTTTAAATACATACAATAGTTTTAGAAAGAACAAAAAAAATTGATACATTATATTCCATCATAGTATGTATGGTTATCACCATAGCAACATTAACTTTTAAATACATACATTAGTTTTAGATAGAACAAAATGAATTTTTGTTAATTATTCAATAACTATAAGAAATATACCCCACAAACTATATATATTTGTTATCAGAAGAAAATAACAAATTATTTTAAGTCATAGCCAACTATGGTTTCCATTTAAAAAAATAAAGTTACGTCTAAAATCTCGAAAATAAAAGATGGGAAAAAAATTCTACCTACGCCACTGAATTCTTCGTAAAAAGTTGCCCATATAATGTTTTATTTATAATACTCCATCTTTGATAATAAGTGAGATATTCGCGATTGTCGTTTTCGCAAAATTTTCAGTTTTTGCCGATAGGGCGAAAACAAAAGACGATAGCTGTTCGGAGTTTTCGGCATTAGCATTTTCTCGAAAAACGAGATCATGACATGTAAGCTACTTTTTTTCTATCTCTTTTAGTTTCGGAGATAGCCTATGCGGACATCGAAATTGGGACACCCTGTACATTACTTGACAATATCATTAGAAATCTGCAGTTGAAATTTGGGTTGAAAATTGAAGGCGCTAGTTGGTCGAACGTTTCGAAAAACGTCATTTTGAGAAAAATGTCTTAAAAGATTCAAGTATTAAATGTTAAATTTTATTGCTGCAATACCTGGGCCATACAGTTGACCTTTAACATTAACATCTTTCTGTTCCCGATCCTTTTTCGACGATACAGCTGACGATATACTGCAAGGCTCACGGCAATATCAAGGATAACTTTGCCACTGGAAGCAGTTTTTGGTGCAATTGACCATGCCATTGCATTAAAATTTTTGTTAGAGTTTTGAGTAAACCCACCTAAGCAACGCGTTAGCAACTTATCGCTGATGAACTCTTTGTAAATACGTTTTATACCCTCAAAAACTTCAGCTGCCATTGCTGGATCATGCTCGTGATTGATTGCACACCATGATCTTGGGCCTTCTGGGCATAAGTGATGTTGAGAATTCTAAATGGCATTTTTTTTTAATTTTCAAAGTTCGCTATAAAATTAATTTCTTGAAGGATCCTTTTGGAAATATCACCAATTATTAATTAAAGTATCCTCTTTTTAATGCAACAAGTCGTTTTGAAAAATCGCTTTTAGTTTTTGAGAAATAAATTTTTGAAATGATCAACAACATTTTCGAATTTTGCAATTTTCGCCAATTAAGATTTAAAAATTCGTATAAAATCCAGTTCTTGGAATGTGAGTATAATTCTTCACCCAAAGTGTTAATAAGAGTGTCCTCTTTCCAAAGAACCAACACCTTTTGAGAAATAACTTTTAGTTTTTGAGAAAACAATATTTGAAGTATTGATAAAATTTTCGATGTTGCAATTTTCATCGATAACTTTCAAAATTCGCTATAAAATTAATTTCTTGAAGAATCCTTGTGGAAATATCACCAATTATTAATTAAAGTATCCTCTTTTTAATGCAAAAAGCCGTTTTGAAAAATCACTTTTAGTTCTTGAGAAATAAATTTTTGAAATAATCCACAATTTTTTCGAATTTTGCAATTTTCTCGGATTACGTTTTAAAAATTCGTATAAAATCCATTTTTTGGAATATGAGTATGAAAATTTCCCAAAGTGTTAATAATAGTGCCCTCTTTTCAATGAACCAATACGTTTTGAAGAATAACTTTTAGTTTTTGAGAAAACAATATTTGAAATTTTGATAAAATTTTCGATGTTGCTTCCAAAATTCGCTATAAAATTCACTTCTTGAAGGATCCTTGTGGAAATATCGCCAATTATTAATTAACGTATCTTCTTTTTAGAGTAGCTTCATTAGTTAAATCAGCATAAAAAAGTTTATTTTGTATCTTGGATCCAAATAAGTTGACATATCTAATCAGCTTTCTTATTAAATTCATTTTTATTCAAATATCGTAATAATGTGGCAATACCCTACATTTCAGAAATGTACCAGAAATTATAACCATAATGGCCGGATAGATATGCCGGATAACCGGATATCCGGCTTTTCGCAAAATCACTATCCGTTTCATCACTAGTATAAACTGGCCCAAATAGATGTACTCAGCTGGATCTTCCTTACTTTACCATATCAAGCATGTCTTACAACATTTTCTTTTCACCACAACATCAACTAATCTTTTAGTGTACCATCCTATCACCAATTCCGAAAAGTGAAGAAACACGGGTGATGGCAAATCCATGAAAGCGCAAAATTTATTTATTTCAATGGCTAATAAACGCATGGCAAAAATCAACCGTTTGTTAGTTTCTTATGCCTTATAATTAATATTCATCACAACTTACCACAATTTTGGAACCGAACCCTTGTTTACTGGCTTCCTACTGGAATTTCACTAGTTTGTGGCATTTGTGACACACTAACACTTCAGCTAAAGTAATGAAAACTATTGATAAATAGAGTATACGATAGTCAAAAGTACTATCGTAATTACTATCATAACTATCCTCTGAAAGCTTCAATTTTTTTGACAACGTTCCTACGTGCTCAACTTTGCGGTCTTTGGCATATTGTTTTAAACTCCTTTTTTTTATCACCGTTTACTCTTTTTCGTACTTGGTATTGAGTTGCACTCATTTTCACAATAAATTCTTCGATTAAGTAAGTCACTGCAATGACGACAAATGCGTTTTACGTATTACTTACATAACTGCCAGTTATCAACGATCAACCACAGCTTACTCTCAAATCTATGGCCAAGAGGTAAACAGTCGTAACTCCACTTTTTACTTATATGGAGTTAATATTACCTTTAAATTAAACATTTTTTGCCTTGTTATTGTGCCAAAATGTGGAGTTACGACTGTATACCTCTCGGCTGTAAAGTTGCAAATCGGCATAGTGGCTACTCAAAAAATCGATCTTTTTGAACTATTTCAAAAAATTTTTTTGCACGTCTCAAAACGGCAGTATTGAAAGGGTTAAACCAATAACAAAAAAGTTAAATAAACAAAAATTACAAGATAGTATTCCCTCTTAACTTATATGTCAAATCGTAATATAAGTAATGACAATTTATTATTATTTTTAGGAATTAGATAGTTCTTTACCACCGGAAGCTTTAAAATATTGTTTAAGTGCATGTTTTTATTATTTACTTTGGGCATTAAAAAGTCTTGAAATAATTCACGAAGGTGGAGGCTTAACAAACCAAGGTGTTCAAGAACTTCGTGAAAATTTAGACACATTCATAGAAGCTGCTCAAGATATAATCCGTTCTTCTCCTCACCAAATCCTTCGCGAGGAAGCCTATGTAGCCCTTTGCGATTTATTAATAGTTTTCAGCGAACAACTACACAGTACAGCGCCGTTTTTGCATGAATTAATTTGTGAACCAGACCGAAATCTTCAATTACTTTTAAATGAATTTGTTCAAACATACGTTTTTACCCCCGAACAAGAAGGCGATCAAGATGAACATCGTATTGAAGAGTTACATAAAAAAAGAAACTTTTTAGCCGCCTACAGTAAATTAATTGTTTATAATATAATGCCTACAAAAGCAGGAGCCGATGTTTTTAAACATTACGTTAAATACTATAACGATTACGGCGATATAATCAAAGCAACTTTAAGTAAAGCAAGAGAAATTAATAAAGTTAATTGCGCTTTAACGATGTGTTTAAGTTTAAGTATGATGTATCAAAGTTTAAGCACAAACGGTGAAAGGGTTACGAGAAATCACGAAGAATTTTTCGCGTTAAAAGAATTAGCGAAAAGATTTGCGCTATCTTTTGGTTTGGATGCTGTTAAAAATCGCGAAGCAATTACCGCATTACATCGAGCGGGGATTTTATTCGCTGTGAGCGGAGCTGAAACTGTTGAAGATCCCACTGGACCTCCACCGAATCTTCCTTTTTTGGAGATCATGTCGGAATTTACTAATAAACTTTTAAAACAAGATAAAAAAGTCGTTTTATCCTTTTTGGATCGAAGAATAGCAACGGGAATGCCGAGTAGTCGTGGTGAAGACTGGCAACCTTTACTTGTATATAGAAATTCTTTGGTTCATGGTGAAACTGATGTGTTTCCAACAACCAGTAAAAGAGCTTATAGTAGGAAAAGAAAAGATATTGATGAAGATCAAGATAGAGATGATAATGATTCTGATACAGAATTTCCTGGTAATCTTTATGGATAAGTTTTATTACTTTATATTGTTTTTTAAACGTTACATTAAAAGAATAAAATAATTAAGAGAAACGAAGGGGCTTAAATACCTTTTTCCTGCTTCTAAGGATCCCTAACATTTCTTTTAATTCTTTATTTAATAAAGCTTTCAAAAAACGTCATATATGGGTTATTCGTGACGTTTACTTTATAAATATCTAAAAACCTATCGACAAACGAAATTTTAAGGTCACGAAAGGCAGAAGACACTTGTAAATAATTCATGTGAAGATTACTAGGTATTGGAGCATTAAAAAGTTAAGTGAAATCGAACCAAAACTAATAAAACCGAGTTCAACCCCACAGTTTAATAAGTGGTTATCAAGCGGTTAACGTTTATTCATATCAGTTTTAAAATATTAATTTATATTTATAAAATTTTTTTAATTTGAAATGTCAAGATATTTGGTAATATTTCATTATTTACATTAGGCACTAAAAAAGTCTAAAAATCACTAAAAAAAAATGTAGTAATTTAAAATTTAAACAGTTGGCAAGCGTGTTTAACGCAAATTTGACGTTTTAATTTTATATTTTAGGCGTTAAGGCTTCGAATAGCAAAAAAAGAACCAAAACTGCATCACCTGCAAATATATTTAATATGTTTTTATAATTTTTTTTATTACGACCTTGTGTTTAAACAGCACCGCGTACCGTTTATCTAATTTTATGTCGTTCGTTCACGATCGGAGATAACCTCTAATTTTCCAATAACCACTTGTCATCGAATTTAATTCGTACGATTTTCTTTTCGTGCTTTGCGAATTTTGAAGGAAGCAATAATGGCTGATATCCTAGTTTTGGATTGGATGGAGGAGTACGATTCATTAACAGAAAGCGAAATTCACACTTACGCTACCGAACAAGAACATAATCAAGAGGTTATGTTGGCTTTATTTGCTTTATTAGAAGAACCCCAACAAAGTCGAAAAACGGATGTAAGTTAACGTTAAAATTGTGAATTATTACTAAATTTATTTTGTTTTTAGTTAATAGAAAGAATATGTAAACAATTTCTTAATTTTTATCGCTCTGGCGAAAAGTCTTTACGAAGGTTTGTAATGCAATACATTCCGAGTTTTGTTTGGCTCCATTTATCAGCAAAGGAAGTATATCCAGAAATTGAAACATTATTATTAAGCCTCTACAACTTAGAAGTAGTAGATGGAAATGGCCAATCAAAGATAATATCGTTTCGAGTGCCAAGTCTTGCCCAAAACTCAATTTATCATGACTCATCAACCCTTGAGCCAGCTTTTATAGCTGAAAATTCTTTAAGAAGATATGAAGAATGCAACACAAAGTTGGTTAATTGGGGCCCATTGCCACAAGTTGAGTCTTTAAATGCCCAAAATAGACAAAGAGTTGTTACAGCTTTGGTGTTTTTATATAATCAAGATGCTAGTAGTGTACCTGCAACGAATGTTGAATGCATATGTAGGGTTATTTCTAAAATAATTAATCAGGGCTTCCAAATGGGTGGAAATAGAACTTCAACGGATAGCGAAAATAGTCAAACAAACTCATTACCACGACTCATTGTCTCAAACACTCTACTTTTAGAATTACTTCACATCGTTTATAACGCTTTACAAAGAGGTATTAATGGAGCATCACAAACATTAAGAGATATTTATCAAAGAGCTACTTATGAAACTTATGCAGGTTAGTTTTATACTGGTGTGAAGTTATCCATAAATCCCAGCCATAAACTTAAAACATTAATAATTCTGTAACCAATACGATTTGGGTCACCAAATTTCACACACAGGTCACTCTTACCCTCAAGAACAGCTTACAATTGCCATTTGATAAAAAAAAATTTTTTTTCAACCCCCACCCCCGAAAAAGGAATGTTTTCACCCTGATGGGCACTTTCGAATTAAGCCAAATTCTACCACATAATAGAACACAGTTCTAAGTATTATTATCAATTTTCGAAATAACGTAACCCCTAATGGTTTTTGAGAAAAAAAGTCATTCTTATAAACCGCGGATGGGTCTTTAGGGGTGAATTTGACCCCGTTGGGAAATTTTAGGACGATTTAGAGGGTGACATTAGCGATTTAAATCGACTGTCAAAACACTGTAACCCCTAATGGTTTTTGAGAAAAAAAATTTGTTAGACTATATGTATACAGGTGTATCTGAATGACTGCAACAAACTTCAAGGGGTGATTCTTTAGTGAACTTTAAGGGTACTTTGATATATGAACCATGGGCGACTTCGGCTCCCCTAAGGAGCTACACCCCTCCAAAAATGGCGGAAAATTTTGGTTTAATTTTTTTTCTCAAAAACCATAAACGCTAGGAAAATGAAATTTGAGGAATATGTTTAACTCATAATAGGGCCCGTTTTGACCCTATTTGTACTTTCAACCGACCCTTGCGTAGAAAAGATTTTGTAAAACTTTTTTAATCACCTCAGTCAATATACAGGTGTCCGTAAATTGCGTCTATACAGGGTGTTTCGGTGACTCGGGAAACAAATTTAACCACATATACTAGAGTGAAAATGACGACGATTCATGTAAAAAAAATTAGTAAAAGTCTTCAAATTTCAAAGATACAGGCCATCAAGGATAGGAAATTTGAACACATTTTTCCAAATATCTTAAACACTATTTACAGTAGAATGCTGAAATTTGGTACAGTATAATTCAATGTAATGTAAAATCGTTAGGCAATTTATGATTTGGATCGGTCCGCGGGAACAAAGCTATACAGGCTGTTCCTAAAGTTTGTTTGCTCAGAACTTTTTTATTCTATCATAACGCTACATTTATTTTTGCAGTTTCTAATAGTAAATTTAGTTTAGAAACTTTTATTACTGCTAGATAATATTGATAAAAATCACCGTTTTCGTGTTAAATGCCAAAATGTTGGGTTCCGATTTCAATAATAGCACTAAAAAAAAAAGAAATACAAGTTTTTGAACATTTCCTTTAGTGTTTTTTATTACATGTCTTGTTATTTTATGTACTTTTTTAATTGTTCCTGTTAGTGTTGTCGTTTTTTTGTTTATTTTTTGTTGATTTTTAATTTATTGTTTTTGGATTATTTTATTAAACCAACTAAAACAAATTAAAAATGTGATTTAGCTAAATCTACACTTGGACATGTTGCATACATAATAGTTATGACATCTCAGTTCGATTTTCACTTGTCATTGCCAATTCAGATTATTTATTAATTTTTTTTTTTACTGTTATTGAATTCGGAACCTAACATTTTTGCATTTAATACGAAAACGGTAGTTTTTATCAACATTCTCTAAGAGTGATAAAAGTTTCCAAACTAAATTTACTATTAGAAACTGCAAAAATAAATGTAGGGTTATGATAGAATAAAAAAGTTCTGAGTAAACAAACTTTATGAACAGCTGTATAGCATTGTTCCCGCGTGCCGATCCAACTCAAAAATTGCCTAATGATTTTACGTGATGTTAGTTTACGCTGTACCAAATTTCAACGATTTACCATAAATAGTGTTTAAGATATTTACAAAAATGTGTTAAAATTTCCAAATTTTGATGGCCTGTATCTTTGCAATTTGAGGACTTTTACTAATTTTTTTTTACATGAATCGTCATCATTTTCACTCTAGTATATGTGGTTACATTTGTTCCCCGAGTCACCGAAACACCCTGTATATTGAATGAGGTGATTCTACATCAAAAATCATGACAAAATCTTTATATAAAGTCCGGTCTGAAAATGGTTCCTAAGGGCGCTAGAGCCCTTTAAAGATGGCACTCAAAAAGTAACGTAAACTCTTTTTTAGCGTTATCTCAAAAACGACAAGGTTTAGAATACCGATATTTGGTGTACAGGGATGTTTTAACGTGACAAATATGATAACTAAAAGAAAAAAAAATAATTTATGGGGTTCAACATAACATGTAGGGGGCCGCGTTTACGGTACTATACTTTTTTTATCTTTATTTTTTTTGCCATTTTAATTGTATCAACCAATTCTGCGGAAAAGAATACATAAAAAAGGTACTACTTAAAAAATTATCTAAAACCAGTCGTTTTTAAGAAAAATTGCATTATACGATTTATGGCATTAAAATCAATTTTAAAATATTTTTCTAAATATCCTATACTCTGTTTTTAAACCAGGAGGAGTAAACGCGAAAGTCAGATTTACACTAGGAAAAACCACCAGAAAATATCACTAGATATTTTGGCGGTAAATTTAAATTAATAATTATTATTATTTATTTATTTACTTATTTTTGTATTAATTTTCGTTTGTTATCATCAGAGCCCGGACAGTTTAGGAAAGTTATCCTAAAACGCCTCCCACTCCAGTCTCAATATTCAATCGAAGCGTGCGAAGCTGTCAAATACGTCATACCTTATGTCACGAAATAAATTATGAATTAATTTATTAATTTTAATTTTAAATTTAAATTTAATAAAACCAAAAATGTATACGTAATAATTCAGTGCGTATTTTTATATTATTTTTATTAATTTATTAATTAATGTTGCATTGCAAGTTCTTCGCTAAGGTACGCTCATCGCTCTTCGAAATTCAATTTTGAAGATGGAGTAACTTAAATGATGTCAAAAGCGACAACAACGTACTTACGTCGTTGCCATGGAATTCGTTTCGTGTAGAGGGGCGCACTTTTCCTAAACTGTCCGGGCTCTGGTTATCATCAACACTAAACATACAAACTAACATTGTAGTTATGAGTGTATTTATTTTAAAATATAATAAAGAAGGGTTTAAGAACACAAAATTTACAATAATGACACAAAACGGTCGAACGATTAATAACCTAACCTTCAAATTTAAAATCAAAATTGCATGTGTGTGAACTTTCCTCGCATTCAACCAATCACGTGCAAGGTCAATCTGGTGACAAATTTAGAATACTCCTCTGGTTTAAAAACAGAGTATAGTATATATATCCTATTACTGTCAAACGATGAATAAAAAGCACTTGTAACCTATTTTTGAATTCAAATTGCTATTAAAACTCTCAAAATAGTTGAATATTCATTCGAAGAGTATACCAATATCCATTTTATGTATGGTAAGGGCGATGAAAATGCTCGGGAAGCTCGGAAGTTGTATGCAGAAGTGTTTCCGAACATACAACTTCCTTTTTAGAACCTTTAACATGAAAGAACTAGGATATTTAGAAAAAAAAGTTGTACTTTTACTTATGCCACAAATCGTTTAATGCAATTTTTCTTGGAAACGATTGGTTTTAGACAATTCTTCCGCAGAATTGATTGATGCATTGAAAATGGCAAAAAAAATAAAGATAAAACAAACGTGGTACCTTAAACGCGTCCTCTACCTATTATGTTGGACCCCATAAGTTATTTTTTTCTTTTGATTATCATATTTGTCACGTAAAAATATCCCTGTACACTAAATTTCGGCATTCTAGACCTTATCGTTTTTGAGATTACGCTAAAAAATACTTCTTGAGTACCATCTTTAAAGGGCTCTAGCGCCCTTAGGAAGCATTTTCGAACCGGACTTTATATAATACTCTTTTTCATGATTTTTGAGGTAGAATCATCTCTTTAAATATATAGACGCAATTTCCGGACACCTGAATAGCGCGACGCGAACTTTGAACACCATAACCCTTAACGGTTTTCGAGAAAAAAATTTCTTGTTATATTCACCCTCCTGTACACTTGTGAATTTGATGAAACTTTAGGATGATTTAGAAGGTGCGTTTTTGATAGAGAAAGAAATTGATTATATCAATTATCTGTATTGCATATAACAAAATTATGTAAGGACCGTTTCCAACTCTTGCTCATTTATGCCGTCCCTGTGACAATGACGATTTGGATTTGAAAACCTGTTATGAAAAATGCTATGAGTAAAAATGCCTATCTTCCAAAGCTAATTAAAGTAAGGGCGATAAATCGTTTAAGATTAGACCGTTGTTAGATATAGTAAATGCAAGTTTTCAAAATTTTTGAATTTTTTAAGAAAATCTGTCCAAAAATGAAATGATTGTAAGATATTACGATCACAACNAAAAATGCCTATCTTCCAAAGCTAATTAAAGTAAGGGCGATAAATCGTTTAAGATTAGACCGTTGTTAGATATAGTAAATGCAAGTTTTCAAAATTTTTGAATTTTTTAAGAAAATCTGTCCAAAAATGAAATGATTGTAAGATATTACGATCACAACTCACCACTTACTAAAACAGTTCATAAAAGATAAGCCAATACAATTTGGTTACAAACACTGTTGTTTCTTTTGCTAACTAATTGCTATCTGCTGTAAATAGTCCAAAAAGCTGTTGCTTATATTTTGATAATTTTTTCGCCAATTTCGTCAATTAAAAGAAATGCAAGTACGTGTAATAAGTAATAAGTACTATCAGTGAAAATAGGAAAATGCAAAATATCTGTTCCGACTAATCATAGACCTAGAAAAGTTAGCTCCAGAATCCTATGATCAAAGATTTGATAGCTACAACAAAATATTGCTGGTAAAATGGAATAGTAACAAATGTGTTTGTATGGCCACAAATTTTGATGCTATAGAACCAGTAACATCAGTTGCAAGATGGAGCAGAGAACAAAAATTAAAAGAGTAAGTTGCTCAGCCAAGATTCACCATTATAATCCATAAATGGGTGGGGTAGACCATCATGATTGGCTCCTTGAAAAACATTCTATAGCAGTAAGGGGTAAGAAATGGTACTGGTGTATATTCACACGGATAATTGATACGACTGTAAACTCCTTTTTGCTATACAGACGAATTCATGGCAAGAAGTCAATTTCTATCAAAGATTTTAGGAGACAGATCGCAGTAATACATTTAAAAATTGGATCTTTTAAAGGGTAGATCACTCAGCGTGCCATTTGGATTTGTGTTACTTGTTTTAGTGTGCTTCATTACAAAAACACTGAATCATCCTAAAATTTCATCAATTTCAGAAGTGCCCATCGGGGTCAAATTCACCGCCGTCTCGTAATATACGTATACAGTCTAACAACAAATTTTTTTTCTCGAAAACCGTTAGGGGTGTTTTGAAAATTGATGGTACAAATGGTGGTTGTAAGTTGTTTTTGAGGGTAAGAGTGACCTGTGTGTGAAATTTGGTGACCCAAATCGTATTGGTTACGGAATTATTAATGTTTCAAGTTTATGGCTGAGATTTATGGATAACTTCACACCAATTAGTTTTATTTATTAAAATTATAATTAAAGAAAGTAATTAATTTTCGATGTTTTTAGATGTTCTTTTAGCAACTCACGCCCTTCAAAGTCTCGTTCATCAAACCCCCACAGCTAATTTACATTTGAAACCACCAAGTAAACCGCACGTTTCAAAATCGATGATCACCAATGCTTCATTTAGAACGAAAAAACTTCCAGGTAGATTCAAAATTATTTTTCAAAATTTTGTTTTATTCTTAAACAAACTTTCCTGGAATGTTTTGAAAGTTTTGCAAGGTGCTTTGTTTATAAATTTATTCACACAAGTGACGTTTTAATTAATTAAGATAAAAAGATACCTTGAAACTTTTAAAACTGTCAAAAAAAATCTCCAAAAAATTCCAAATTTAATCTCAAATTTAAAAAATTTTCAATTAATTCTCATCATCCAACGAATTCGAATTTAAAAATTTAAATTTAAAAAAATATTCGTTTCATGAGATTCAAAAAAAAGTCCTTCCCCAAAAAGAACTTTCCTTTTTTTCTTTTTCCTTTCCTATTTGAAAACAAGGTAAAAAGAAGAGTTAAGTTTGAGAGATGGACATCTTCTATGCTTCTCCTTCTCAGATGACATTCCAATACAAAGAGATGAAGAAGCTACAGCTGATGCCAGTTTAGATTCGATAGTAGAAGAAGGACCGGAAACTGGATCCGATCGAATTAAATTGAGAGGCCGTTCTGGAAGTGCTCTCAAACATCTCCCGAAACTATCCGGTTTGAAAAAACAGCGGATGAAAAGTAGTCCAACTCCCCATCGACACAGCATAGAAAATGAGCCTCCTGTGATGGAACTTCCGGTTCAAGCTGTGGCTGCGGTTGCAGGTGGTGGGGAACAGGTTAGTTTAATTTCGGGGAATTTCCAAGAAAATAATGTCAATAATGAAGGGGTACAGGTTGTTAGTACTGTGTAAAAAGTAAAATTTGGAGATTTTTTTGTATTTTTTTTTAAAATTATTTTTTGTTTGGGATTTAAATGAAAAACTGCCTCAAGAGTAGCATTTATTTAGAACATTTAGAACAAAAAAAAAAAAAGAAATAATTAAAATAAGGAAATTATAATAAAAGATTGTAGTGGTTTATTTTTATAAGTGAGGGGGAAATAAGTATTTTTTGTGATAATAATAATGGTTTAAAAAAAGTTAATAGGTGGATATAAAAATAGTAGCTAGAAAAAAACATGTAAGAGTTTATAATTAAATGTAAAAAGTTGTAAAGTGTAATATATATACAGTATACACATATTGATTCAAGTCATTAAATTAAATTTTGTTTTAGGTTATAGTAGCAATAAGAAATGTATTTTAATTTATCTAAAAAGATTGCAATAATTATTTAAAATATTTTTTCTATTTTTTTTCTTAAATGTTATCCCTTGTACGACCAAAATATTTTAACGAATTTGGACGAACAGGGGTCAGTCTAAACCCATACATGGTGAACCATCTAAGATTTTTTTAAAAGTATTAAAACTAGATATTGTATTAGATATACAGGTGTGTCAATGAGACCGGTCATTAGACGTTTCTGGGGTTCTGGCCAAAATAAAAATTTGAGAATTCAAAATTCAGGCAGAATTCACCTTACCTAGATGTCGCTGCATACATCGAATATCTAGTAAACCAAAAATCTTTTACTACAATCTTTTTCATCTATTAGCCATTATTTGTCATGAGGAATAAATCCATAAGTTTATGCGTATAGGTTGAGAATCACCCTGTATAACATTTTGTTTTATGTATAAGAAACGTCTAATGACCGGTCACCCTATATTTTATTAAATTATAGCCATATTAAAACTACATATAAAAAAGAACTCAAATATTCTTAATAATAGTTAATAATCACCTTGAGTGGACCGCCTAAGGACAAGTTCAAAAAACTTTTTTACTATCTGTAACTTTTTATATGTCAATATTTAGTTTATATCACTAGATCACTTTTTATGGTGTAACATCTTCGATTTGTTATTTAGCACAAAAAATATCTACCCTGCTAAAAAATTTCCGAAAAATTTCAACAAAGGTGGAAGAAGCTAAAGAAGAGCTAAAGTTATTGAAGATTTTTTATTGTAAATGATTTCTTTCATATACCAAAACAAAATTCTTGCTTATGCAGAATCGGTATCACAATGTGTGAATGTGAAGTAATTTTTATCCATTTTAGCACATTTGAGGTACACAGGACTCTGATACTTGTTGCATGAAATTAAATTGTTACAAACGCAGGCGAATCTTCCATACAGATGATGCAGAAATGGGTGTTCTCTGACGAAGATGATTAATTCTATTTTTTATTTTGTTTGCCATTTTTTATCTTCAACCTTCTTTATTTATTTAGATGGCTGTCTTTCTACCTCTTTTTGTAGGATGTGCTGCCTGCGCTTCTTTCGCTTTGCTTATCTCATTGCGTTTTCCTTTTTTTTTTCGTGCACTTCAGCAATGCTTACAGGTGATGTCAGTATCGTATTTTTTAGTGCTTTATCGCCTCGAGTTGCACCTTTTTTTTTCAGGGATTTGAAAGGACAAGCTTCAATTAACAGAAATGATAAGCTTGAAACACTAGACCTTCATGTTGACGGTACCGCTGACGTAACCACCTCTTCCTACGCAGTAACTTCTGGAAAATCTCTCGCCACTGATTATGGCTTGTACAAAATCAGAATCGGTGAAAACGTTTGTATTATATGAGTTAGTGCAAAATCCAATGCTTGTCCAACGGGACCGGATATGTGACGTACTACAAATGTCTTAATATCATGATTGAGTTTCCACGCATTGTACTGTTTCTCGTAGTATCTCTTCACTAGTTGCAGTTAGGCTGCAGTAAGATAGGAATGAAAGAATAGTAACATCACTCCGTTCTGCTTTGTCCATGGCAGAAATAGAGAATAGAAACAATTCAATTGATAGATGCGACGAATGATTATCGAACAGGAAAAGACTTAGAGTGATAAATGAAGTGCTTCATAAATTTTAAAAATTCATTCTGCATTATCCAACCAGATCCATTGACAAATCCACCCTCACCATGAGGTAACTTGAGGTATTCTAACTTTATTGAGCAAGAAATAAGGTGGCATCGAGTTCCCACTAGCACTGACAGCGAAGTGGTGATTATGCTACCACGCTCAACAACTGTTAATTTTACAACACGTCTGGTTCCTTTTAATGAAATAACCATTAAATTATTATTTGGAACTATAGAGAATCCCGTCTCATCCATGTTCTAAATGGAGCTTTGTTCATACTTTGTGGCCTTCAACATTTTCTGCAGATTTTCAAAGAACTAGTCAACATTTATCAAACATGCTCGCTTGTACACAGAAACACGTCTGTTCATCTCGACACTTATTAGCTTATGGTTTTCAGGTGTGGCACTGCTGTTGGTTTCACACTTCGACTGTCACATCATACCAATGTTTCAGCCGGTCCAGACAAGGTGACATTACCCTAAGTCATATTACAAAAATGCTTTGTCTTCATTTTGTTTACAGCGTGTACAAATTATATTTATTGTTTTTATACTATGTACAATACACACAAATTTAGTACAAGTATCACATTTTATGGTTAGCTTTAAGTCAGCTTTTGAAATGCAAACGGTTTGGTACATCTGCACACTTTCAAGTGCAATTTTTACACTTTTTGGTATTCAGTTTCTTCGATTTATTGCTAGTTGGATAAGTGACATACCTAGTTCCTGTAAGAACATCCTTCATATTTTGGAAAAAACACTTCCAGCCCAATTATGACTTTTTCTTTCTCAAATTACAAATGCATTGTATGTTGCAATGTTCAAATAATCTTCTAGTAGTTGTACGGCAACTATATTCTCGAATGAGTTCGTCCAAAACGTCAACTCCACTCTTTTTTTTGTTGGCTGCATTCCAAGACAATATTTGGTTTGTAGTTTATTTCGCAATTACTTATTTCATATTTCTAGTGCGTTAAAGAAATTGTTTGTAGTAATATTTCGTCCACTATCATGCCAAAATTTTAATAACGATTTTCTTGGTTTTTCTCAGATTTGTTCCCAACTTTTCTTAAATAAACCTCGAAATTAGTACCATAACATAGTAGTCAAGAAAATATGCTTTAAAATTTAAAGTATAGTTACACTATAGTCTCGTGAAGGAAACTAATTGATCGTCAATTGTTCTATACTCAGATGATTTACAAGTTTTTCTGCAATTTTTTGAAAAAATGCCAGTACCTTCTCGCAGAAGTGCAAGCTTATCAACTTATTTTTCTCTTAGGCCTGGTATCCAGGTTATCTTATAAAACGTAAAATGTCTATAAATCTATTTCTGCTAGTTCGCTGATTGTCGCGCGGTAATTATGATGGTTGAATACATCATTGTGATTCCAAATATATCTTGGATTTTCTCGCAATTCACGAAACCTGCCAGTAATAAGAAGAATGCCAAAAATATCATCATTTCCAATGAATCGACATGTATATGAAAGCACAACAAGATTAATCTTCGATTTCGAATGCTATGTAAAATATTATTGTTTGTAGAATTGACCCCGTTTTGGTCATACAAGGGTTAAATTTTAATCGTTATATTAAGGATAGTAGAATCTAAGAGGATTGCTTCATTCTGGGAACAGGTGCACAGCTCGACGACCCGTTCGTGACGTCATGTATAGGTAGGCAACTACTATTTCACACTTTGAAGATGCGCAGCTAAACCAAAAACTTTCTAGTAGTAGGTCTAGCGTTAGATCAATAAAAATATACAACAATCTAACGCTGATTTATAATTAAATCTAGAACTAACACTAGACCTAAAATAAATATTCGGGTTTAGCCTTGCGTCTCTTAAGACGGCTAAACCCGAATGTTTCTAGTTCTAATGTTAGTTTAATAAATAAACTAAATCAAGAACTAACACTAGACCTAGAAGGTTTCGAGTTTAGCATCTTCAGACAGGTTTTTATTTATCTGTTTTGTGTGCACAACATTTCACAAATATTAATATTAGAATTGTTGTTACTCAATATCAACAATATCAAATATTTGTATTCATTTAAATATGGTCACTTGAAACAGCTAGTCAACAAAAGATGGCGCTAGTATGACGTATCGGTCCGATACTGACGTCATTTTGTGGATTATAAAAGAAGAAAGGATGTAGCAGTCGTTTTAGATTCTACCGTCTTTGTCCGTATAGATCAATAATGATTAAATTAATGAAATACTACACATATTTTATTTCTTTAATAATTTCAAGCTCAATCAACAATAAAATTAACAATCACCATAAATAAACAAAAAGAATTTACAACTATATTGTAAATACTAAATGTATTTATTGAAACTTAGCTAATAAAAAGCAACAATAACATAAACAATAAATTAATATTTCCTATTTACACTATATTGTATATAAATCCTATAAAAAAATAAAAACGATAGATGTGTGTATTATTATGATAAATAAAAAAGAGGAACAACAATCGGCCTCAAAACTCTAAACTTTTCTTAAAAATTTATTGTATACTACCATTTGTGCTAAACTATAGGTGTTTTGTACAGTATTGTTGAGTCGGTGTTTAATAGTTTAAGGTCGAAATTTATTGTAACGTTGAATAAAACATCCCTTGAAACTGTTTAGTCTTACATCTACCTCACCCTCTTCTAACTGAAACAAGAATAACAAATTTAATCTTTATGAACACTCTTTATATAAAAGGTATATTTATACAGAGGTGTCCCACAATGATTGTTGTACAATCCCCTTCACCAGCGTATTCTCTGGTTGAAAATAGACAAAAAAGCCTAATAAACGGCTTAATACGTCCGAAAATGGTCCAATAAGTTAACATCATTAGTTGTAACAATTTAGATGTAGTAATTGTATCCTGCACATTTTGAACTTCTTTGAATTAATGATGTTCACAATAAAACTTTGAATATCTCAACAATGATCTATTTCCGGACCTATGTTTGTTATTTTTTTTGTTTATTTTCGATCAGGGAATACGCTCGTAAAGTATTGTACAATAATTGCGGGACACCTATATATTTTAATATTTGAAAATTAAATTTAAATCATTAATTAGTGTCGCCATCTACATAAAACTATGAAAAACATATTTTATAGGTTAAATTATTTACCGGATCATAACTATATAAATCTCGATAACAAGAGGGTGAAATACATTGTCGAACACACAAAACCTTTGAAACTCCACTTCCATTACATCCTTGTTCGCATGCTGATTCATATTCGCGAAACAAAGCTTCCTGAACGTCAAAAATAAAAAGTGAGGTTATGTCAAAGTTATGTCTCGCAAAAATATAATTCTTTTTACATTTTTAGGATGTTCTTTATAAGGAAATTCTTTAAACGTATAAGTAACTTGTTGACCTACAACCAAGCAACACCCCATCAACCAAAAAACCACTTTAATTATCAAAAGATTCATTTCTTTTTCAAATCGAATTATTCTGTTTTTAATAAAACCACTTCTTCATCGATTGGTGTAAATGGATAGTTTATTTTTTTATAATGCGCACGCACAACGTTATTATTAATCTATCTCTTTCTTTACAAGCGGGAAAAAAGAAAACAGCGAATCTTTTGATAGTCTGTGGGCCCCCTTCTGCCTTTTCCCCTCCTAACTTACACACACACACTCACCACCACCGCTATCCAAACACGCACACAAAACTGTTCTTGTGTATTCCTCAAGCATCAAGCCATTGTTACGCGGTGTTTACGCGATGATGTCCGGTTTATTCGAATGATTTTCTTCTAAAGTGACTCTTCCAGTTAGAAAAGTGACCGGAAATTCAAAGAAGAAAATCAAGGACGATTCATTAATGTTAGAGGTAAGTGACCGTTTGTTGATTTTATTACGATTTTATCAGAAGGATAGATTAATGAAGGCTTTTTCGAAGCGATTTTCGTTGATTTTTCAAGGCTAGATAAACCGGTCTGTTGTAGCGGGTTTCAATCAGGAATTTGAAACGTTTTATTTAGGGAGAGATGTTACCCTACCTGCTACCTGTGGATTCAACTCAGGTGGATAAAAACGTTTTAATTCAAAGAGAAAATTTTCATTTCTGGGAAATTGTTGGAAATTCACCTCTTTAATGTGTTTGTATAGTTGAAGTTTAATTTGATAGATGGTGCTATAAATTTAAATATAAAAATTCTTTATAAAATTCATAAAGAAGAATTTTTTATTTATTTAATGATAGTATCAAACAATAAACATTAAATACGATGATGTTTTTAATGAATTTGTTTATTATAAATAATAAATAACTTAAAATTGAATTAAAATCATATGATTTTAAATGGTTGGTAGCACCAAAAAACAAAAAACTCGATTGAAAAACAAAATCTTTCAAAAAATTGAGAAAATGTCTCCAAATTTTCGTGCTATTATGAATTTGGAATTAAATTCGGAATGGGAAGGTATTAATCGTGAAATATGGGTAAATAATTTTATTACATTACATTTATTTAATTTATTAATCAATTTTTTAAATATCAAAAAAAAAAAAACATCCAACTTTTAGTTAACTTAACTTAAAGTTTTTGGTATTTTCCTTTGTTAAAACACAACACATCTGCATACAATCAACAATAAATTATTAATTCTTTTAATCATAAAGGAAAAAGACATAATTTACATAAAAAATCATAAACATAACATCACACCACTATTTATAGGTTATGTTAATGAATTTAGAACCGACTTTTCTTTGGATTTATTTCGTGATCATCACCTGTTGCGTGAAGATTACTTACGACCACGTTTTGAATATAAAATAAATGATTTCAACATACTTTTCATAAATTTGTCTCTGTAGTTTAGTATTGCGATTAATTATTTAAATTTTTTGGCATTTCAGATATGTATTAATAAAGTAAAGGCACTTTAATCGTTGCGCATGGTTTTGATTTACGAGCATTAAGCGACCGTGAAGGCAATTATAAGATCCAGTACGGTCTTATTCGTACGTTGAACTTGTCGCGGATAACGTGGTATACGGGTTTTTAGACTTTCTTCTTGCCATTTTCTTACCATTTATGTTTTTAATGGAAATAGAAAAAGAAGGTTTTAAGTTAACAATCTTATTTGGTTTTATTTGGAATAGAAACTACTTTGAAAGTTGATAAGGAGATTTTTTTTGTTTTAGATAACTTTGAAATACTTAAAGAGAGTTTTTTTTTACTACTTTGATGAATTATTTGTATGGAATGTCTACAGGGTGGCGTCGAGCCCACGAATATATTTTCACCCTCAATTATGATCTGAAACAACTAAATCAATCATACCAGAATCACTTAAAACCAGCTCATTCAAGGCTGCAATAATATCTAATAAAGTCGATATAATTCTAGTAGGTCAGATATGAATTGCGTCCTACCAATGACAAGAGAAACATCAGTTAACCTAATGACATCAGCCATTTCCACGTACACTAAATTAATATTGTTTGTCATTGGCACAAACAACAAAATCGTAACTTGAATGAAAATTCAACGATTGAGTTTCAAACTGATCAATAAAATTAGAACTAATGAATGTAGGTGGCTGTAAACAACTCTAAAAGTAAACCTCTTAGCTTTATTTTCCATGGAAGTCTACAGCAATAATTAACTCTAACGACATCAATACTTGACAACAAGTATTAACGAGAAAATATACCAAATAAATATACAGGGTGATTCAAAAAACCTCTGACAGACTTCTATAGTAGATAATACATGAAAAATTAAGATGAATAGTCTTAATATACATGGGGTCGTAAAATTAAACATTATCTGCAATAAAAAGCCCTTTTTTAAAAATATTGTCTACTTCATTGCTAATTTTCTCACACGGGTAGTATTTTGGTGTAAAGTGATCAATTATCTATCAATTGGTCTCGTACAAAACTTTCTTTTTAAGAAAAACATGTTTGTAGAAAATTTGTTAATCTAATCCAAAAACTGTTGTTTTAATCAAAGTTTTGTAAAAGACCAATTGATAGATAATTGATCACTTTACACGAAAATACTGCTCGTTTGACAAAATTAGCAGTGGCGTTGAAAATATTTTTAAAAAAGGGTTTTTTATTGCAGATAATGTTTAATTTTAAAGAAACTTTAACACCCATATATCTCGTTAAGGTGGCATTTGCAATCCCATGGCTAATTTTTGATGTATTACCTGCCCTAGAAGTCTGTCAGCGGTTTTTTGAATCACTCTGTATAAGTGTAAGTAGAAAATAACTTTCTACAAATTTGCCGCAATGAACGGAGAATCAATTATTATAAAGGAAATGCGTTTAAACTACTATATTATGCATCTGTTTCAGTCCCCTTCCCTCCGTACATATTAAGTCTGGAGGATGACTACTTATTTTAAAATTTGAGTGACTTTGCAAATTTTCTCTGAATCACTTTATTATTTTATACAAAATGTTACAAAAAATGATTGTATTTTAAAAAATTTGCTAAAAATTTTAGTCACTATAAATGTATTTTAAAATGACTCCAAATCCGACAAGGTTATCTTTAAAAATAATTAAAATACATCCGGATATAACTAATATATATAGTAACTATTTGAAATAAACTAATTACCACGGGTAACGCAACTTACTAACCAATTTATTTAGTTATTTTTCTCATGCTATATAGATCTTGCTTATAAGTTAACAATAATGCCTTCCATTACATAGATTTTTTAGTTCGTTTTTATACGATGAGATCATTACTCGTGATATAGATGATATAACAAAACTGCTAAACGTTGAATAACATGTTTTAATCGTGAGTTAGTTTTAATATATTTCAATAGATGGCGCTGGTGCCTGAAGTGTTATTAAAGTGTTACAGTTAGATTTAAAATCGTCCAACTGGAATCTAGAACGGATTGTTCTAAAATATGTCGCAGATGGAGTTAATATATACAGTATCGTATAGAACTGCAACTATAATAGCAAACACTACTTTAGAAGACATGGGTCTTATTTATAACAAAGATAAGGAAAGCTATTAGATCGAATGAGTCTCAGAAGGCAAACTGTAAAAGCGATACGAAATTTGAAATAATGGGAAAGTTGAAAATATTTTATTATAGAATGATTATATTTTGATAAACGAAAAGGAAGGTCTAACGAACATAACAAATAAGAAAAAGGAAATAAAATTTATTGAAGTGGTATTGCTGGAAAAGCGTAATTGAAATATATTTCGTTAACATCTTCAGCTAAGTATATTATAAGTGCGATTCTAACTTATCTACGAAAAATAATGAAATCAACGATTCAAATTTAAAAGTAATCTGTTGCTAATTAGATGGATAAGATTATATAAAAAACTAGAAAAATGTGAAAATTTGAATATCATAAATTACGACAAGCTCGAAACCCATACTCAGAAATAGATTTTAAAAATTTAAAACCTAAGATTTGTTTCGCAGAATAGTTGCCAATTCTCATTGGTACAAAATTGCTGACAAAATGTTAATTTAGTATCTCCTTCCAAACATTTCAAAGTTTTCGCAAGATTAATAATTAAAGTTTACAAATATGTTTTAACGTAATGATGAAATCTTACTTAAAAATGATTCCATCCATTTGTGGAATATTTGAACATCAATAGTCAAAAAATATTAAACCACTTATTCAACGGAAAGATAATATGGAAGCATTTTTATGGCTATGGTGATTAATGCCAAAAGACAATACACCAAAATCTGAACTTAGAAGCATTTTAAAGCTTAGTTTGAAAGGTAATCGTAGAATGCTCCAAAGTTCAAAATGTTGTCCACTTAACTCATCATTATCATCAACAGCCCGTTGTTATGCCACAGTTGGCGAGTAGGCCACTTCTCTGTCTGTAAAGTTGGCAGATTACATTACATTACAGTTAACATTACACTTAGCTATGCAACTTCAGATGGAGTGCTTACCAACTAACAAACCCATCCTGGCCTGTCAGACTTATTTGATGAAAATATTAAGAAAATGATTCTTAACTGTTTTTATTCTATATTTGTTTCGTAAATAGTTTCATTTACTTCAATCGTTACAAACAAGAGTCAATTTTTAGAAACTAAATTATCAACATATTTTATTTTTGATTGAATATTTCAAAACATTTACATTAAAATTAAATTCAAAAACAAAAATTATATCTTAAAAACTCGTTAAAATCAAACTACAAACTAAATTGACATTCCGGCAATAGCCGAACTTACACAACAAATATAGAATAAAGACCAAAGTTTTTGAATTATTTTTTAATTCATAACCACTGGTAAAATGGAATATAACTCCGATTACAATTCAATAATACACCACTCTCAGATTTTCAAGTTGTTCCTTGTTATTCAGTGTAGAAAGTTGTGTTAAAGTTGTGATGGAAGCATATCTGGAAAACTAAAGGGAGGGATTTTGGTGAAAATGCCACCTTGAAACATCATAAAAATCGTCTTTAACACTCCAATAGTCGCATGTCATCTAAGAGATGACGCAGACAGTCTGGACTAACCAGTTAATATTTGTATGCATTGAATAGGCATCTTAGAGATTACATGTGCGCACTCTTGTAATAACTGAAGGCGCGATTACTGCACTGTTAAAAAGTCTTTTAAGTAGTTTTTGCCAAAAGCTATCTTTTTAATTGCATTCTACATTTTTTAGATTTATGCTACTAGTTTCAGGACAAACTTTTTAATACATAAGTAAGTTGCACCATAATATTGAAACTAGATTAACGCATTAAATTGATACTTTAATGAAGATGTCTTCTACTCATAATTTTTTGATAGGCGATTATGTGCTCTGCATTCTCTTTATTTTAGTAAGAAGGTTGGTGGTCTGTGTAAGAATGTATGACGTGTTTTGGGACTTATTTACAGAATTAAGCACGCATTGTCTTATCTGGTACTTAGCTACATTTTGGTGATGATGGTGAGCTGATTGATGCATGTATGTCACATAAACTATAAATTTATTAGATACGTATTAGTTAAGTATGGCAAACTTTTATTTGTGCAACAATTTCTCGTTCAGAACGGATGTTCATTATGTTGATGTTAGAATTGGAGTATAGAAGATCAGAATATGTAATAAAAACTGTATTCCATTTAAGTTAACAAAGTTATGGTCTATAGTTGTCTAAAAGATCAGGATATACAACCCGACAAAAATTCTAATAAAACACTTCCTAGATAAAATACTCAAAGTTTTGTTGGATACCTGGATCAAAGCCAAATCCAACCGTAACATCTTCAACTAAAATTTATTCTATAGAATTCACAAACTTACTACCATCCATAGGGTTAGTCATCTTATTAGAGAAGTTTTAGTGGTAATAGATTTAAACAGATGGCGCCGCTAGATACAGAGATTGTATGTCCCAATTACGATGTCCACATAGGCTATCTCCGAAACTAAAAGAGATAGAAAAAAAGTAGCTTACATGTCATGATCTCATGAATGCTAATGCCGAAAACTCCGAACAGCTATCGTCTTTTGNTACGAAACTTACTTTTTGTGTCAAAACGATTTACACTAATGATCCCAATTCAATGTTAAACAACCAATACTGTGTTCTCTTTTATTAGAACCATTTTCATATCATTTTGTATTTATAGCGTTGGATATAAATAATGAAGCTATGGCTACTCTGCTCTCATCATAAACTATATCTCGATGTCCATTTTATAACGGGGAGTCTGGGAGATCGTTCGTTATGTTGATCCTAATTGTTATAAATGATAGCTTTTGGTATAAATCATAATTTTCCATCAAATTATTTTGAAGCCGATGTCCTTTCTGACCAAAAAAAAGTTTTGCAATTACAATTTATTTTAACTAAAGTTAACTCTAACTTTTTGTAAGACACTTAAAAAAGTACTACTATGTTTTATTTATTTAATATGTTTAAAAGCGCAGTGGCGTACAAGTATGTGTTATTATTGTTTTAAAAAGAGAGCCCATTGCGTACGCATCCTCACCGAGAGAACATCGATCCTAATCCCCCACCGTTTTTCGGTGTCCCCACCACCAGGTACCGGCGCCTTTGATCCGGCGTCGGCCCTCCCTCGGCGGGCGACGTCCGACGCCGGGGTGGTAGTTGACCGAGCGCACCCCGCGTCGCTTCGCAGACGTATATCTTTTCTCTTACCCTACGAACCACAATTGTATGTCGTACGTCGTACAAAACGTATACTCACCACATTTATAAAGTACCGAATCTCATCATCGACGGTTAACACCCAGCCAACGGGCATCAAACGGTTTAGATTAGCAGCAGCAGAAGCACGAGGCAAGCAAGCGCGTTCCGACGCCAGTGCAGCCAACAACGTCGTAGTGCCCGTTTTATGCTGTTCTTGTAGCCGCGGAGACAAAAGCCAGCAAACTGTGGGGCGCCGGGGCTTTTTTTCTTCCTCCCCAGGGAATGTACTATCCGGTATGTAAAATTTAGTTAATAACAAAAACTATAGACTTTTCAAAAATTTTATTTTGGATGAGCTGTCACTAAAATATTTTTGGATCCAAGCCAATTTCAAACCGTTTTTTTTTAACGTTTATAACAATGCCGCCTCCCGCACAGCTTGGGAGAGATCAACATCATCGTTACTCCCCCCGTGTTTTATTTATAACGTGACCAATTGTAGACCCGTTTAATTGGTTAACTCGTTGCGTCCTTTCTATACCGAACGTTATTTTCATTATAAACTAATTCCTCTTGAAACAATCGAGAATCTTCATCTCATCTCTCAAAAACGTTTAAGAAAACAAAAAGAAAAACGCATCTGCCGCCCGTATGCCTGTCAAAAAATATTCTCCTTTTTTCATAATAAAAGGGACCTGGGCCCGGTGAGTTTGGTCCGTCGACCCTACGTTTTTCTCTCGCTACTCCCATCTCGTTTTAATACCGCCTGAGAGAGAGAATACTTTTTTTGGTCTGTTTTCGTCTGGAAGCCCAAATTCTTAGAAGACAAAATCGTTTCTTCTCGCTCGCTCGAAATTTGTCTCTTTTTTTCTCCCTTGAAATTCTCGCCATCTCCCTACTTTCCTCACCATCTCGCTCACCCTCAAGATCTCGTTGTCGTGGCCCTTCACGGGGTGTTACCCTTTTTGCGCATGATGAGGGCGAGGTCGGTATTTCTATTATGAACACGTCGCAATAATTAATTTATATTTACGATTTCAACTTCGGATCCATTAATGTGTGTGCTTAATTCTTTAGTAAACGTTATTTTTTGTTTGTTCACGTTAATAATTTTAAGGTTAAAAGAAAGAGAAAATATTTGTTGTTTGATTGTGTGTACGTACGGGATGGGTATGTTGAACTGGAACAACCAATAATGATAAATGCAGAAATAAATAATCAAAGGTCGGATTGAGAAGACGATAACCCCTCGGGAGATTAACAATTTTTTTATCGGTTTCGTTTCGGTAAAAGAAATTGTTATAGTACTAGCTTGATGTTTTTTTCTAAATGTTATTTGCAAAAAATATTAACGTTGCTTAAATAATATCTTTGAAAAGAGATAATGTTTATTTTTGAATCCAAAAACCTTGGAAATATAAATTTCTTCTTAAAAATTTGGTGAAACAAAGATCAGAATTTTCTATACTACAGTTTTTATCTTAAAATAAAAAGAAAATCAGTCAAAATTCTAATCTGGAAATAAACTTGTAATTTGACGTTTAAATTAGAGGTTAGGTATTATGACGTTTAATGTCACTTTGACCCATTTTAATATTTAAACCTGCCATTTTTAGTAAGGAAACGTCATTTTGACATTACAGTGATGTTTTAACCCTTTGTGTCCCAAGAAGTCAATAATTTTGAAACTTTGTGACAGAATTAAACCGCTATCAAAATACACTCATTGTCAGTAAAGGCCTTTGGAATCGATTTTAGCAAAATATGCAATCCCCCCATTCCAGGAGGATAATGGTACTTGAGAGTACCATCAAGCATTAAAATATATTTTAGTGATGTTGCAGTATACAAAAACTTTTATTGCTAATATAAAAATGTATTCAGTTTTTATTATTATTATTAGAAAATAAGTAACAGTTGCTTTAGCTAAATCACATTATGATATTCAGAAAAACAGTTCTTTCTTTCATTTTGAGTGGGGTCTAGCTTTGGCAGAACAATTTTCACTTCCTCTTTCTTTTGAACTTGCGCTACGACATTTTCGTGGACGCAAACTTGAATATTTATTTATCAGACCTGTAGCTACAGAACGACGAAAATCTGCTAGAATATTGAGAAATAATCTAATTGTCAAAAAGATGCTAATACAAAAATTCCTGGAAGCCGTGTTTATTGAAATTAAGAAATGAAACTTATTTTAAATTGAAGCTTAAAGCTTTCTCTTTAAAATGATGTATAATAATGGTTATGTTGGATCACAAAAATATGGAGGAAAAAGATGTTGAAATTAAAGTTCCATTTTCGTATAACCAAAAAGTGTCAAAAAAGATGCTAATTTAAAAATTCCTGGAAGGCGTATTTATTGAAATTAAGGAATGAGACTTATTCTAAATTAAAGCTCAAAGCTTTCTCTTTAAAATAATGTATAATAATTGTTGGGTTAGATGGGAAAAATATTGAGAAAAAAATGTTGAAACAAAACTTACATTTTCGTATAACCTAAATGTGTCAAAATAGATGCTAATTTAAAAATTCCAGGAAGCCGTGCTTATTGAAATTAAGGAATGAGGAACAAAATTCAACAACATATTTATTTTACATTAGGAACAAAAAATCATCACTTTCATGAACTATCAATTTTTTCTTTCTGGTAGGTATGATGTCACTCTCATTACTTGAGTTTTCTTGATGCGATTCTGGTTCAATTATTGACGAATTAGGTAAGGTCTCAGGTTGACAAGACTTTGTCATGAAACCCGTAATTCACAATTGTGTAGGCTTTTTTTTGCTAAATCTTTATACTTTCTTCATATTGATTTAAGTATTTTGGAGAGCTCGATCAACATTTGTGTCAAATTGTATGAAATGGTTGCCCAATTTTTTTCCCAATTTAAGTCCTACTAATTTTTTTATGATTCTTGCTGTGAACACAACTGGTTCAGATTGCTCTTCATCTGAATCATTGTGTTCATCATGTTTGCTTGCTTCACGAATCATGTTAATTAAATCATCTTCATTCAGTTCTTCATCAACTATTATTTCTTCAATATCTGCCTCAGCTAAATCTTAAAACTTTTCTCCTCCTATGGTATGAGCCAACTCAGTAATCTGCGAATATTCATGCTCTATTGGTGATTCATCATTTTCACTTTCAACAACATCCGGCCATACTGATTTCCAGCAGGTGTTGATCGTTGATTGTGTGATCTGAGTGTATAAAAGTCTAACATGCTTAACACAATCTAAAATTGTAAATTTCTTCCAAGCATCCATCAGAGTAAGAGGTTCATCATTCTCCATTTGTTCTAATAAGACAAACCTGACAGTTAGCTTAATGTACAGTGCTTTAAAACTTGAAATGATTCCTTGATCTAACAACTGTAATAAGGAAGTTGTATTCTTCGGTAAAAAAACAATCTTTACATTTTCGTGTTGTAAATTGGAGGATGACATGGAGCATGATCAATTAATAGAAGAACCTTAAACGGCAATCCCTTTAATTAGTTAAATAATTTTTGACATCAGGAACAAAGCAGTTATGGAGCCATTCATTAAAAGCTACGGCAGTGATCCATGGTTTTTTATTAGCCATCCAATAAATGCCAAGGTATTTGGTCTTTATTCCTTTGAATGAGCGTGGTTTTGATTTGTTGCAACAGAAAAGAACTGTTACACGACTTTTCGCTACTTTATTACCACTAGCTGATTGATTTTGGCGGAACGCACAATAATATAAGCTTTGCTAATAAAATGATTCGCACTATGAACCAAATAGCATTACTGTTGTGTAAATGTATATATTTTACAACTCCGGGAATCCCCTGTTCTTTTCATCAGTGTGCCAAAGGAAAAAGATTCAAAAATGCCTTCAAATCTTTTTATAAGTGTATATGGAGCGGATACATTTTTTCAAATTTTTTGAAATTTATATAATCTCAAGTGCAAGTTAATACGAGCTCTTTATATGCTCGCGTCTATTTGATCCCATACGACTAGTTAAGTGCTAATCATTGCTTAATTTTTAAACAAACTGTTTTAGGAATGGTCGTTTTAACCAACGGCTTAAGTTTTGCAAATTCATTCATAACAAGTACGAAGGCTTTCACGGGCGGTGTTAATTAAACTGAAACTAGAGACTTCGAACTTGTTTCTGAAGAAAGTTACAAATTGTAACTTACAACATGGTATCTGAAATGTTAAACACTTTTTCAAAAGACGCACGGCTTAACCTGAAAGTTTCTAATTCTAGTTTTAGTTTAATCATTCATAACAAATTTTTCTGCACCATTTTAGATGAATACTTTTGAATTTCACAATTATTTAACATTAACATTACTAAAATTTTACAGTATTACCAGCCCTTACAGTTTTGACTTAAATCATTTAACATCATTTAAAGCAACAAAATAATCAGACGTCATAAATTTTTCACGCAAGAATTCGTATTTCAACCCGCAAACCATTATTAACTGAATAATTTAGTAGTTCACAAATAACAAAATCAAGATAAATATTTTGTGTAAACATTTTACATTGGATTATTCTTCCCGAGATATATTAACAGAGAAATTTTAATTATATTAGTCAAAGAATTATCGGGGTGTTTCAAAATAATACCAAAAGTTAATATCTAAAATGTTTTCATGAATGAAAAGCATATGGTGATAATAGAGCTGTAACCCTTTTGAATTCTTGAATGAACCTAACTCTAGGATAAGAGGATTTTAGAGCACAGAGGAACACTCGATGATTAATAGGTGAATTTATTTCATCATGGTATTTAACCGAACTAAGCTCAGGGATCTTTCAATTACAAACATGTATTCCTCCATTCAAATGGATGAATGACACCGAATGAATCAGCATTTAGATTGATAATGGACCATCAACTATTGTTCCTAATGATAACGTTGAAGTTGAATTCTTAGCAAAATCAATTTCAAGTATATCCTTGAGTGATTGTAGAACATTTGTTACTCAATAATGCCGCGACAAAACAGTTGCATCAGGTTGATCATCAGGTTTGTTATGATTTCTTGAATTACAAATTGAGTCATTGAAAAAACTCAAGTATGTGATTGAAAGAGCTTGGCGCAATCTGTTGATCAACCACACTTATTCCATTCGAGTAGTTCCAAGAACTCTCTTTATACAACATTATATCTCCATTTAGCGTTAAACACATTTAAAAACTATTAATCATTTTATTTCATATATTTTCACTTTAAATAAGATGTTTATCATCTTAAGAATGTGACACCAAACTTTTAAAGTGACCATATTTCAAGAATATC